TACCATTGAAATCTACCTGATGACTTTATATCCATGCTCAGATGCCTAGAAGCTCAGAAAGTAACCAACTGTGACTAGTAATAATCAGATTTATAGAGATTAGAAACGCATGTGCATCTTAGTGTCAATTGTATTAAAAATGAATTTTATTGTTAGAAACTCTATTTTAATAATGAAATGGAGATCTTTTTTAAATTTTAAAACCTCACTTAATTTTCTGTCTTATAGGGTTTATACTGAGTACAATATCATATAACTGTAATAGTTCAACTGTAAACCTAAGAATTTACAGCCAATATTGAAAGAGATGCATCTTAGCTCTGGAAATTGTTACTGAATAAGTCAATGCTGTTGTAATGAAATGCTTCTTCTAAGTATGTGGTTATTAAATAAATAATTTTTTAAAAACTCCAAATTGATTTCTCCTTTTTAGTTTTAAATAGCACCTTTGTTTAAAAAATAAATAGCAAATAAATAAATAATAGAGCATTAATTTAAAGCACAGTCAAAATATAAATTACAAAGAACTACTGATAATATTTTGAACAAAAAGAATTGTTGTCCAGTTAAACTCACTGCAACACCAGAAATAAGTATCTTATTTTTTATAACCGTTCATGACTCCAGTAGATATGTAGGCAAAACACTCACAAATGTAAAACAGAAATAAATAAATTCATATTTTAAAATAACTTACCTGTGTATATCTTTAATATTTTATTTATCATTTTTTTTATTTTATGTGTATGAGTGTATTGACTGCAAGTGCGTAAGTGCACTTGTGTCAGCAATGTCTGTAGAGGCCAGAAAAGGGCATCAGATATACTGGAACTGGAATTACAGATGGTTGCTAGCTGCCATGGGGTGCTGGGAATCAAACAGGAGTCCTCTGCAAGAGCAGCCAGAGCTCTTAATCAATGAACCATCTCTGCAGCCCCACATATATTTTATAAATGAACATTTAAATGAATTATTAAACCATTGTATCAAAAATGTATCTAAAAACTTTCATATAAAATGCAGGTGTAGCCGGGCATGGTGGCACACACCTTTAATCCCAGCACTTGGGAGGCAGAAGCAGGAGGATCTCTGTGAGTTCAAGGCCAGCCTGGTCTACATAGTGAGTGCTAGGATAGCTGAGGCTACAGGGAGACCCTGTCTCAAAAAGACAAAAAAAAAAAAAGTGTAAATCTCTCTTTGTGCAGTTTCCTCTTTTACTTTAAACTATCGAACATTTCTGCTTTTGCTTTTCCCCTGGCCCAAAAGCTTTCATTTTTGTTTGCTTTTCTTTTGTGGTGCCGGGGATGGAACTCACAACCCTAGCATGCTAGACAGGTGCTCCAACACAGCTACACCAACTCTGAGCATCAAACTTTTAATTACACATTCCTGCATCTTGTCTTACATCATCATTTTCACACTCAGAATATACAGATAGTTTTGAAAATGTAAGTTCCCTTTTGGAGAAACATTATTTTAAATTTTTTCTAATTGAGGTCATATTAGTGTAGAGCAGTTCTAAACTTAAAGCATTGTATTTTATGCATGTTCCTTTTATCCCCCTCCCACTTGGCTCCTTTGTATTAGGTTTTCTTCATAATGTAATTAACCAATAAACAGGACATGCATAATATATGATATATGACAAGTTCTTATTAAAAGTTGAGAAATTATGCATAGCTTTCAAAGTTCAAGAATGTATTGTTTCATTTATTTCAAAGTAAATGAATAAGTTAGCCCGTGTGTGTATGTGCATGTGTGTTAGCTTCAACTGGCCTGGGACTCACTGTGTAGACCAGGCTGGCCTTGAACTCACAGAGATCCACCTGCTTTCTGCCTCCCAAATTTCTGGGATTAAAGGCATGTGCCCGCATGCACAGCATAAGTAAAAGTTTTTAAATGAAGCTTGTACATATTTTAAAACAATTGGAATTATATTTTAAATAGAGGATATTAAGATATTACCCATAAAATGAAACATGCAAGCATTAGAAAAAATTTTTGATAAGGTGCATTGAGTGTGTGTGTGTGTGTGTGTGTGTGTGTGTGTGTTTTAACTTTCTGTGATTTTTGTCTCTTTTGTCAGTACTGGAGACTTAGCTCAGGGTCTTGTACTTACTAGGCAATCCCTCTACCACTAAGCTAAATCTATAAACCCTCAAAGTGAATAAATATAATATACAACTGTAAGCCATAGCATCATATTTTTCATTTTTAAATTATTTTAAAAGCAATCTCCATATATAGTTCCCACTAATAATTCCATCTTCCTTCCTCTGGCCATATCTGAAGTCCTATGGATCTTATGAAGAATAAGGTAATCAAATGAGAGGTCAAGACAAATAGTAAACAAATGCTAACCCCTTGAGACCCATTAATTTATTCCTAATTTCAAAAATATTCCTAAATCCTAAGATTTATGAAATGCACAAAAATCCAATAAAAAATACACATTGAGAAAAAATTTAATGTCAAATAAAACTGCCATTGACTGTTGACATCATGTTTTATATTGCATTATGATCTTAACTTGATCTAGTTTACTCCCTTACACCAGTACTTAAATGCCAACGTAGGTGGCCCTATAGGCATTGATATTTGAAAACTTCTAACAGCCTTAGAGTGAAGGTCATCTTCAGCTGCATAAGAAACTTAGTTTTCTTGTATATGTGCCTTTTCTCAACTTCAAATATATAATTTCCTCATCCCAGTATTGATTATCAATAAGAGAGACTATCTTCCTAGGAAGGGGAGTTATAAATGGGATGAATCAGTACAAGAAGCACCAATCACAATAATATTGGGGATTTTCTTGCATCCAATGATAGAATTTTGATTAAAGATAGATTATGCTTTAAATAAAGTAAACAGAAGAGAGGAAATATATTTCTAAGTTATTACTTAATGGCAAGTATTACTGAACAAAGAATTACTGCAAAATTAAACTAGGGAATACTTAATAAAAGTTGGAAAAACTCACTTACTACATGTTCAGTGGTAGAAAATGACCTGATCAATTTATCATCCAAAGTTGCCACAGAGAATCCCATTGACCTAGCATGAGCCTACCCCCCTCAGTGTAAAGGCTTACATTTTCTAAGCCCAAGAGCACAAGAAGTGGGATGGTTGTCATTCCTCCTTGAATCCACTCCTCCAAAGACACTGTCCCATCTCGATCGTAGTCAATTTCTTCCATCATTTCATGTAGGATCTGGAAAAAAAATGAGGGAAACATTCAAAGAATAAATTTTTAAAAACTGTGTAATACAACAAAGCATTGCAGTGAAATGTTTATAACACAATTTAACTAGAAGCTAAGTGAGAGTCAAAATAAATGCCTGTGTAACTAAATACATTAATGCGATTACTTGGAGGATAGTCATTTTTTATGATTTCAGCATAGAACATGACTTTCTATACTAACAAAGTTTTAGAAATGCTCAACTTTTAAATATTTCTTTCCAAAGAACAGCACAGCTAAAATAAACGGTACCTTTAATTTAAGGGTGAAATTGGTCTTTAATTGCTTTCTCAAGATCATTTGTCAAGTTCATATATATGCCCGAAAATGTCTGGACAAATTAACTTCATGGCAAAGAGCTCAAATAATTCTTTGCTAAGTGTAAAAGGTGAGGAAATTAAGTTGCTTTTAATTGCCTATCACAACTTAGTGGAGCCAAAACTTAATGATCTAATCATATTTGATTAGTCTTCTTCTTTGAAGACAGCTTGCACATAATGTCCAAAATATTCTTTACAATGTATTTGCAAACAGCTTTGTAATACAGTGATGCTGTCAGTATTTATTTCAAAGGGCTGTGAGCTTTAAAAAGTCAATATATTATAGGTTAAAGACCCTCCTGGCATCTATAAGGAGGGCCGTACAGCATTGCTTATATTACTACTAATGAAAATTACATAGTAGCTTCCCTGGTAGCTGGGAAAGTAACATACTTCCCATCTAAAAGTGTCAAGGTGGTAAACATGGTAGGAACTCCAAAGAAAGGAATCTGTGCTGGATAGCTTTAGTTGTCAACTTGACACACCTGGGTAGAGGGAGCCTCAATTGGGGAACTGCCTCCGTTGAACTGGTCTGTGGCCATGTCTGTGAGGCATTTTCTTGATTGTTGAATGATGTGGTAGGTCCAGCCCACTGCGGGCAGTGCCATCCATGGGCAGGTAGTTCATTGTATTAGAAATCAGGCTGAGCATGGGCCAGGGGAGCAAGCCAGTAAGCAGAGTTCCTCCTAGGTCTGTGTTTCAGCTCCTGTCTCCAGATTCCTGCTGTGAGTTCCTACCTTGGGCCCCCTCAGTGGTGAACTGTAATCAGGAGATGCAAGCCAAATAAACCCATTCTTCCCCAAGTTGGTATTGGTCACAGTGTTTTGTGACAGCAATGGAGTGCAAGCTAGAACAGAGCTTGTGGTCTTTATGTATCACAGGCATTTTAATCAGCTTGGAGAAACAAATTCAAAGAGCATGAAAACAAAGATTTGAGAAGATACAATGAATGAAGTGCTTGAACCATCTGTGGATGGATTATTTCCCTAAGCAGTCTCCTTGGTTGCTTAGTGTCTTTTGTCAGGCATTATTTGAAAGGAGATTATTTCTCTTCATAGCAACATAATCATTTAGTGGATTCAGAAGACTTCAGGGGTGAGGTGTGCCAGGATAATTATTGTTCTCAAAATAAAAGACAATTGGTAAAATGGGCACAAGATCTCATTAAAATCTTAGCCTCTTGGAAATATGCCAATTTATAAGTAGAAATAAACATGTAAGAGAACAAAGCTGGTTGTGATCGTACACACCTGAAACCCCAGCAGTCAGGAAGCTGAGACAGGAAGAATGTGAGTTTGAGGCCAGCCTAGACTACATAGAGAGAGCCTGTCACAACCATACATGTGTGCACGCACACAAGCGTGCGCATGTGCATACACACAAACACACACACACACACACACACACACACATACACAAGAAAGAGAACTAAACCTCGGACATTGGAGGACATGTGTCAGATGGCCAATGCTTCTTGTCTGGTGTTTTAACACAGATTCTCACTACACAGCTCGGGTTGGCCTCATGATTCTCTTTCCTTAGCCAAAAAGTGATGGGATTATAGGTGTGCACCAACAGGCTCGGTTTGATACTCCAATTTTCATGTCTTAAATCTTATGTTTGAGCCTGGATTCGTTTAACAAAAACTCTTTCAAGAGCATCTTAGTCTTCCTATTGCCACGAATTCTGTTTTCACTTCTCTCTATACATTTATGCAAACATAAAAGGAGTCTATAAATCTTCAAATGAAAGGAGTGCTTGAAGATATAGGCAAGATGAGGCAGTGATCTAATCAATGATAGGAAATGCAATGCTCAGAGAAAGGCTGTTTTCTTAACTTTCCGGTATTTAGACTATACAGACAGGAGGCCATTTTAAAGGAACACTCAGGACAAATGACACCATAGGTATTATTTGTGATCTCCAGTAGTCATCTGTCATAGTCAACTGTCCAGCAGCCAAATGCTGCCTTCTTTGGAACATCCATGTCTCCTTTTGGAGCATCACTGGAAAACAAAACTATGTTTTGCTGGGAAGTGGTAATGTCCGCTTCTGCTTTTAATACTGATAGGAAAATATCTGCTCTTCAGTCCCTCCCATGAGAACAAGCAGATCTCACTGACAGATGAAGAACTAAGATGACTATGGGTTGAACAGGATGGAAAAACACTGTAAAGTTGATATAACTAAAAGATAATGTAATTTGTAGCAAATCTCTTGAGATGAATTAAGCAGTATATTAAATATGTGTCAGCCATTATTTTAGTGTTCAACAGATCAACTGCAATGGTGAATGGTAGGTGCTACTCACTGTGAGCACAGCAGGTGCATTTCCACAATAAAGCAACTGAAATACTTAAATATAGTTGAATTGAAGCAGGAAAATGTCTCAGTCCAGGCAAGAGCATTGGCACCATTTGGCACAGGATTTGAATCTGACTGCCTTTGAAGAAGACAGCAACTGAACAGCTGTTCCTGACACTATTACCTCACAATAGTGTCTTTTTTAGTGCTACTAGCTGTTGAAGAGTGAACAATGGTTTACAAATAAGCTTCTTTAATCCATATGTTATGCAGACCTTTAATATTTGTACCTATTATTTTTATGTTATGTGTATGCGTGTATTGGTTACATGTATATAAGTGCACCCATGTCCTGCAATACTCCCGGAGGTCAGAAGAAGGCAAAGGATCTGGAGTTGGAGACAGTTATTAGCTGCCATGTGAGTGTTGGGAACTGAAAGAAGGTCATCTGCAAGAGCAGCCGGTGCTCTTAACCACTAAACCATCTCTCCAGTCCCTCAAATCCTTTAAAGAAAATGGATATGTTTGCTGTCTTCATGGACTTTTTACTAAGCTGAATTCACTTCAAAAATAAACCACTCTTGCCTATCAACTTCTGCTCCCTTATTATTTGTGGATAAAGTTAAAATTTCCAAAAAGAATTTCCTAATATATTTTAATAATGAAATTTTTTAAATGCATGCATTAACAAGAAGTCTTTGTTTTTATTTAGTTATTTTTTATATGTATGAGTGTATTGACTGCATGTATGTGAGTGCACCCGTGCGTGTCATGCAATGCTGTGGAAGAGGGCTTCCGATTCCCCTGGAACTGGAGTTAAGACGGTTCATAGCCACCGTGTGGGTGCTGGGACTCGAACCCAAAGTCTTTATTTTTATACACATTTTAAAATACTTTTTCTTTAAGTGAGTTAATTAAAATTTCCACACAAATACACCAGTATCTTTTATAGCATAGAGTAACCTTGAAGTGTCCATCAGAAACTTCTGCTTGCCCCCAGGTATGTAACCTCACAATCCAAAATAACTACAGTGAGGAAGAAAGGCAAAGTGACTGCCAAGAACTTCCGAAGTTTGCATGCTCCTTACTACCCAATTCAGAATCCACGTGAGTTCTGCTTAGCTAGAATAGCTGAGTTACAAAAGACAAAACCAAATGTCATAATATACAAAGGTCCCAGAAAAGACTAAAAAAAAAGACCATCTAGAATTTAGTGAACAGATCATCTATATACCTACTGGATTAAGTTCAGTGACGTCCCATTCAAGGTACTCTGCAACATGCATCATCTGGCCGATTATATTTTCTAATTCCTGGGAGGTGTGGGAGGGAAGGGAGAGAGAGAGGAGAGAGAGAGAGAGAGAGAGAGAGAGAGAGAGAGAGAGAGAGAGAACTTAAGTTTTGACTTAAAGCATTTTTGTTCAATGGATTAAATGAGTCATGTGACTTATTTTCTGTAATAATTTACAGATATCAAAACCACTTTTTAGAGATCTTATTAACAATATAAAAAGAGTAATTAAATATAAATTTATAAACTACTTTGTATTTTTATGGCTAATATACCGAAAAGGTAGCCTAAATACAAATCCACTGTGGAGGTTAGCTGGGAAACTTCACCAGGAGGGGGCACCACTATACCAAGGATGGTTTCTTCTTGACAAGTGGGCTTGATCAAAGTAGGAGCAAATGTATGTTTAACAGGATGTGATTTTAAGTCACTAAACATCCTGCCTCTTGGCCTGAAAACAGAGCATAGGGATGGAAGGAGGCCTGGGAAAACAGTGGAGAGGTTTATCTTTACTCTGATACGTTGAGAACATAAACTGACTGCTAGTCACTTACTAAGCTACTTTACTAAAAGGTGTTTCAGGGTCAAGGGTTGAAGACTAAGTATATAGAGAGTTTATTTTGTGAGAGGATCCATTTTAGTTTAAATTTTCATATTATTCTGTCCCAGTGTCAACACTTTGAATAACAGCTAGTGAATACATATGGCTCAGTGAAATGAATTACAAATGTTTTCATATGTATGCATATAAATTTTAAATTTTCCCTGTCTATCTCCAGAAAAATATTAAACATTGCTTTGTAAGAGATCTGTTATTTAACAATATAGAAACAATACTATTTTAAAAGTGCTGTTGTACACTATAATTGGAAGTATAGTATACATGGACAAGGCTTGAAAATATATGAATCAAAGATTACTTCACTAAAATCCCTCACCTGTTATATGTGGTCAGATATGTGGGATAGAGAAGAAAATACAGCAAGAAGAAATTATCTCGTGGGGATCCAAGACAGCCTCTGAGAAACTAGTGAAAGCTACACTCCTTTCAAGAAAAAGTACACTTAAAATGTTAGTTATATAGATATTGTCCCAGAAAAATATAAATATAAATGAATGCATTAGAAACTGAAAAACTTTGATATCTGCTAAAATTCGATGTGGACTGCTGCCGCACTTCTCATCTACTCCAGCTTTGCTCGATGCTTTGGAGAAGTTGAAGCTCTTGAATAGATTTTTAAGAACAGAAACCACTGTTCGTGAACTATGACATAAGCTTGTGATGTAAGTCATTTAAACTCTCTGAGTTTCCTGATCAGTAAAATGGAAATCCTAGCTTGATCTAATTAGCAGTGATTATGAAGATAGAATGTGTGATTGAATGAAACACATTCATCATGTCTAGCATGTTGCAAATGATCAATAAACATTAGCAGTTACTTTGATGTGTAGTCATTGATTATCAAATGCTATTTCTTTCTGTTTTGCTTCCTAAAGATGAACTGCTACACCTTTAAAATTTTAATACAAATTACTTTAGAAGGCACATTTTGAATCAAATATTAAAATAAATATACTGAGACAGTGAGTTGTGCAGAAAACATCTAATGTGTAAACCCTGATATTTAATTTAAACAAAAATAAAGGAAATCAAATAGAAAATAAAGACAAACCATAAAAAAATCCATTTATTCCAAAGTTATTGCTTGATATTGGGAATCTAGTTAAAAGTGTTTCCAGCCATTTACTATATCTGTTCCCCTAAATATCCAGAAACCAGTTTTTTGTTTATTTGTTTGTTTGTTTGTTTTAAGCATTTGGCTGAAAAAATTTTCTCAAATCAGCTGCCAAGCCTTGGCTAAATGCCTAGTAGATACATCATTTGAATTGAAATAAAAAGAAACATTAAATCAAACAAGTCTGCATTAAGATATCATTTTTATTAGTATAACCATGAATGATACAATAAGCATTTTAAAACATCTACAAGAAATCTAAACTTCACCTTGAAACAGCGCCAGAAATATGAGTACACTAATCATACATGTCAACATTCCTAACTGGAAAACTAAAGATTAGTAGACACATAAGAATACTATCAAGTGAAAACTGCTGAGATTTAAACCTAGTAAGTCCCAAAATCACAGTGTCAATTCATGATAGTAATCTTTCCCTGGAGTAGTAATTACACATTTTATTTCTCTCTGGAGAAGCTAACATGGAATTATATATAAGCATGCTGTACAAAAGTGTGCTAGAAACATGTCTCTGAATTTATTGCTGTTTTGTAAGAGTCTTTTTGAGGAAATGGAGAGATGACTCAGCAGGTTAAGGAACCTGCCACCAAACCTGACCACAAGAACACCATCCTGGGACCCACACCACAGAAGCTTGTCCTCTGACCTCCACCCAGACATACATTGTGTTACCTGTGCACCCACACTACACATAAATAAATCAACGTAATTTTTAAAACCCTGAAGTGGATTTGAGCTGTGTCACAGGAAGGTCTATAAGATGAACAGAAACATCTGTTAAATCACATCATCAGATACTGTGCATTCCCCAGCAACAGGGATGAGTGCACAGTCCATGCTTACTATGCACAACGCTCTATGTTCAGTCTTCAGCTCCACAACCACAAACAACAAATTAAATGTACCTGTACACATATAAGTGCCTCACACTGATAGTAATTCCTGTATTTCTTTCTTATTTTTTCTTGTGAGACTTGGAAATAATGCATGCTATGCACGATATAGTATCAACAATATAAAATAGGTAATTGGATGAAAGCTGAAAGGCACTAACATGTGCCCTGGTTCTGATTTCTACTTCTTTGAAAGTCATTGGCTTTTACATATTATGAATAAAATAAACATTTAGCATTCCTTTTGAGTGGTCTTTCAGGGATAATACTTTTCTTCTATTATTCTTTCTGACAAATTATAGAACGCAAGCTGCACACAAACTGGATGAAACACTTTTAAAAGATACATTTCTCAAGTCAAGCTGTAAGGACATTTAGCTATTTCATAGCATAATTCCTTTAGATTCTATACACATACTCAATATTTTTCTTACAGGCAAATTTTACTAACAGTTTTTTGTTTTCCCTTCTAGATCATGGTTCCATTTTTGTCATGTGTTGTCCATAAGGTTGAGGTCTTCCAGTTTTATTTATGTTAACTGCAGAAATAAAGTCATGATTTTGTAGGAAAACTGATAGAACAAACATAATCCTCTCTCCAGACCAATCTCTTTCAAAATTTCAAATAACAAAGTTGACAAAAATGCTGTGTGAGTGGATGCAAATTATGTGAGGTGTGCCGTCTGTGATGATAACTATAAATTTATTCATTGCTTTTTTTCAAATGGAATTACTTTGCCATTTTCAGAGAAAATTGAAAGGAAAAAAATTACCGAGCTGTCCAGGAAGCCATTCCCATCTGTGTCATAAAGGCGAAACATAACTAGAATAAAAGAAGTGTTTTTTAAAAAAAGGTTAGAAGTGAGCAAAATCATGAAACTTTAAGGCACATTTCTTAAAACTTAGTTTCTGTTAAAAAACTAATACTAAAACTTCCCCTGCTCAAAGCCTTTGTGTGTGTGATTGTTTCTTAAGGCAAATTTAATACTGGATCTCAGATACTATGTTTACAAAATTTTGTTTGTAGATAAGGCATATTAAATAACACCATTTACCTATTTTTATCACTAAATCATTCATTTTAAATTCAAATACGAAAGAAGAGAAGTTGAAATATCTAGCCTCTAAATATTAAAGAACTGAGTGGAGATGGAGAAATAACTGGTTTCGAGGTTTAGAAGTCAGTTCGAATTTAGAATCCATGGCACTATTTCCTTATCCATAATGTGAGATCATTACATGAAATTGATAAATGACCCTGGTGTCAGAGTCACTTTTGCTGAGGCAGTCAAATGAAGTGGGATACACAGGTGCATCTCAGAAGACAAAGACCACTATTCAAACATAAGCCATTATTATGATTGATCCCGAACAATGTGATAGAGGAAAGAGGAGAGAATAATAAGACATTCTTCCTGGTAAAGGATCTCAGCTCGTCAAAACGTGGCATTAGTGTAGCCATTAGAGTCTTTGGTCAGGTCTGCAGCTGAGCTTCACTGGGTACCTCGTCTTTGAACTAATCAAGCAAGGAAGTGCAGAACATTGGCTCTGTGTTAGGAAGCTCAGGATAGCAAGACAGGGGGTCCCAGGCCTGAGGACTCCATGTACAATTCCCAGACCAACAGGAGACCTTGGAAGAGGCTGCATGTGTCACTTTGAGATAAACACAAGATGAATGGCACAGCTGTAAAAATAGAGGAGTGGAAGTGAGGGTTTATGTTGCGTTTGTATAACTCCCTAGAGGATCTAATGTCTGAGTTCTGTGTATTAACAGGCATTGATAACTAGAAGACACACATGCAATGGCCTGATCACATCACTGTGACTAATCATGCTTTTATTTATTGATTATTAAATTTAACTAAGATGTAATTACATATAAGATGCAGAACTAGTCTTATATCACTAAAATATTCTTAAATGTTGTCAAACTATGACTTCATATTCTTTTGCAAGAGGAAAACAGATATTAAAGATGTCAAACTATAAGGGGGAGACAAGTATATACTTAATTAAGAGATATAAAAATGAGATTGGCTGAAGTTTTAAATATTTTTGTTTTCAGTAATGGTAGTTGTTCCATTTAACATCCTCAATAATTTCAAATAAAATGGCAAAGGAAACAAAGAATATGTACATGTAGAGACTGAACATTTCAAGATTTTCTAGTATAGCAGAAAATGGTCAATATGTTTTTGCAAGTGCAAAGAATTCACAGACCACTCGGCAAAGAGGTCAACTCCAGGAGCAAGGTAAAAACTTAGAGAAGTCTAACTATAACTTCAAAGTAGATACAGAGTGACTCTGTTGATCACACTGGAGAAAATGTCTCCAAAATCAAACCAAATGATTAAACCTGTAGAGATGCTTGGGCTACAGAGCCAAGCGAACATCAGAATAAAAGAAAAGATTAAATCTATGGAATAAGTATACAGGCATATAAGTTTTCTGCTAGGTATAGATTCTGGTTGAAGTTAAAATAATCATTAATAAAAGTAGAGAAAAGCTCATCACAAGATGAAAACATGGCTCAAATATGAATCGAAAGGAAAAACACAAGGTGAAGAGAAGTAAATTAAAATAGGAGTTTAAAGTTTTAGGTGACTGGATGGCTCAGCAGGTTAAAAGCACTGGCTCTTCTTGCAGAGGACCCAAGTTTGATTGCCAGAACCTACATAGCAGCTAACAGCCATCCATAACTCCAGTTCCAGGGGATCTGACGCCCCTCTGACCTTTTCAAGCGCTGATACTGGTGCACTTACACACATGCAGGCAAGACACTCACACACATAAAATAAAAATAATAAATAAATATCTTTATAAAAAAGAATTTAAGATGCTGTCTTCAAGTTCAACATCTAAATGATGGTTCAGAAGAACTGAGCAAATATCATAAAGGGGAGGGACATAGTTATCACTTAAAAATAGACAAAGAACACAAGTGTAAACAATATTTATGGTGAGGATTTAAAATTTTCTTAGTTACAAGACTAGAGAAAAGTAATCAAATAAGGGGAAGAGGCATTCTTATCCATGGAAAATAAGAAGTATCCAGTGTAATTTACGTATTTAAAATCTTTCTCTTTTAAAACCATATTTCTAAATAATATTGGTAAAATTAACTTTTGAACTTTGACTATTATAATAATGCTATTTTTTCAATAGTTAAAAGTCCAGGCAGGACCTAAAGTGGAAACATTAAACAAGGATGTTTATTTTTAAAAAACAATATAGATTTATAGATGTCTAGGTGTCAAAACAAAATAAGTTCAATATTAAAATTATTGTTAGTCTGATGTGCTCCAAAGGTGGATGCCTGCCAAAGAGTTATGAGCTAGTTTAGCCCACTTTTTTCTATTTTTATAATCATACAATTTCACTTTGTATAGAACAATTATGTGCCCACACATGTATTGAGTTAGAAGGTCAGAGCAAAGGCACATTATGTAAGATAAGAGAATTTCTATTTCTATGAATTTTTTTCTCTTTCAAGAATTTGAATTATTTCCTATTCTTTTTACTGAATGTGCAAACTACATAGTTTTTACACTTTATAGAATATGCTATTCACATGAAAAAATGATACCGAATTAGACATAACAAGAGTAAAATTTAAAGCATTTAAATAGAATTGCTTTAATACACAGTTCTCACTATACAAGCTTTTTAATGCCTAGCATAAAATTCCAAGGATAGAGGTTAAAATAATTGACTGTCTAGAATTTTTGACACACAATAAAATGGAAAAACAGAATCTCCATTTTTTCCCACAACCGAAATAACAATGAAAACAACAAATGACCGTTTTTCCAAATAAAAAAGGGCACCGTGCGACAGCTAAAAAAAACCCATGGATTTTACTTACAACTAGAAAATGGTGGCTTTGGTCACCTTCATAGGTGAATTTTAGGAAGGCTGGCCAGATGGGTGGTTTTAGGGCCTCTTCAGTATTAAATTTCAGTTGTGCTGAGGCTAATATCTCACATAGTTTCAACATACGAGTTATTTTTCATTTTCAGATGTCAGTTATCCATTTTCTAAGTAATTTTCAGTTGATTTATTTGGTTATACAGTTTCAATCATACAAGGCATAAAGGACAGACAGTAAAGTAAGTCCTGTTAGGAGGTGGCAGGAGCATTTGTTTTGTGAAGTAGGCCTCGAGTGCACAGTGCTGGCTCAGAAACACTAGAAGGATAAACCCAGGGAATGCATGGTATAAGCAGCAGCACACAGCTGTAAAGCGCAGGGTTTGTTTGCTGGTCACAAAGCCAACCCATGTAACAAGATGATCGATTGCAGTTGAGAAAGAAAACAATAGAATCCTCTTACAATCCCACACACATGTGCATGTGCAAAAGCACACTTTCTCAGGGAGCAGGAAAGGTGCTCAGTAAGGAATAGGATTAGGTTAAGGAAAGCTACGTGTATAGATGGCTTAGTGTAAAGTTTAGGTGCTTCTGCTTGCTTCTTTCCAATATGACAAACTTTACACTAAGCCTTGAACAAACACCTGGCAAAAAACAAAAACTGAAAATATTATAATAGTGGTGGGAAATACTAAATAGATTTACAAATTAGGATTTAAGTAGAAAAAGTATTTCTTTTGTAAATATTGGAAACAATGCATTCATGTTATCTAATAACCCCCATGAAAGGATCTCGTAAACATCAGCTCAAATGAAAGTAATAATTTCAGATGAATTGTGTGTATTAGGGGGGAGAGGATTTCTACTGGATGGAAGAAATTGCATAAGCCAGTATTCCTACACATGGGGCTTATGGGCCAAATGCATCAGTCTCACGTCAAAAAAAAAAAAAAAATTTAAGCTAATTTTCAAGTCCCACCTCAGACTTCCTGCATTAAACACCCTACAAGTAGGGACTAGTGATCTGTGACTACAGGCTCTGAAGGTGATTCTGATGGGTGATTGCAAGTTGTATGTGTCCCATTCTGCTTAGCTCCCTGAAAGAAAGATCCAAATTCAATTCTCTACCTCACAAGTAACTATTTCATGTGCTCCAGCACAACTACTTCCATTCATTGCAACTGTCATTTCTTCTATTCTCTTCTGGTTTGTGTTACGTTTGGTAAGTCATAACCCTTTTGGAAGTAAGTATATAGTCACACTGAGACTAAATCTAAAATCTGCAAATGTAAATGAATGTTAAGAGATTGTAAATGTAGAATTGTAGACAGGTTAAAATGGCAAATTAAGAAACTGGGTGACAGGGAAGATTTGATTCATTGACGTACGAAAGTCAGGCATTACAGAAGAAAAGATGAAAGTACAGAACTCTTAATGATGTTAATGTATAACCAGAGTAATGACCACCACACAGGAGACCAAAGGAGAAAACTAGAGCATCATTTACTTTGAGAAGTCTGATGAAAATTATAGAACAGCACCAGATCATAACAGTTGGCCTACACAAGAGTCTGAAGGCATAAATTATGAACCAGATGAATCTGTTGTGAGCTTTAAACAGAGCTGTGAAACTCATGTAACAGAAGAAGGATATGGAGAACCCTGAGGAAAGTGAGCAGCTGATCAGTTTCACTGATTACCCCAGTGCTTTACTGTGTGGCTTCATTTTCCTGGGACAGTAGACAAAGGCTATGTGAGTTCAAAAATTCAAACTGAAGTCGAAAAACACGGTTTCTAAGAATTCTACTTTGTAAGCAACATACTTCCAGTTGGCTTAGACATAATTAAACTGCACCATCAAAGACCGTGTTCTGGGAGATTGATGGTGCTTTTGTTCATTCTTAGATGTGGAAAAAATATTTATCTTTATGCCTTCATCATCATTCCAAACATGGCAGTAACAACACCTGAGCAAACTTTCTCTCTGGCCATCACTTCAATGGAAATTCACGGACATTAATGTTTACTTTGGAATGAGAGAGATTTCTGCTCGTCCTTAGAAATACAAAATAAATCTTGAAATGCAAATATTCAATGTTTATGAATAATATATACATATCTAAAGAATGATATTCATATAGCTTATTCATAACCCAAGCAGGTGTGACTCAAACAATCATGGTAAATTATTTGATGGCCTGAAAAATATTATCAGAAAGCTACCATTAAATTTCTATTATACTTTGTAATTATAATTCTGATACAGCGTTTTTCATTTTATTAGGAAAGACTAAACTATTGATTCGTCGTCTTCATTGTAATTTCAATAGATCAAATATTTAATTCATTTTATCGTTAAATAATGTTTGAGCCCACCTGATCACTGAGTAAACTCTCCACTTTTTATTTATAGATTTTAGAGAGCATAGAGTATCAAATGATCAGTTTCGGAGTCTATGATGGACTATATTCCTCAATTGCAGTGAGTGTAGTCAGCCACCAGAGGGAGCTCAGCCACTGTATTTTATTTTTAAAAATCGGTACTTTGAATAGAAATTCTCTGTCATGTTGAAGAAACAACGGTATTGTTTAATTACTTTAAATATCCTGAATCAAGTCCTATAACAGGCATTTGAGAAATTTATTTCTGCCAAAGAGAGTGTAAGCTCTAATGGTGGCAATGGAGAATCCCTAGGATAAGAATCTAAGTCATGTCACTGAGTTTGGGGAAGGATTCTTCAAACAAGAGAAGTAAGTGCTCTGCCAAATGCTTAGGATTTCCAGTAATATCTTGTTAGCTCAAAGTAACTTGAGAAAACATCTTTAGGGGTCATATGATTGATAAATATGCTTACGAAGTTGCTGATAACAAATGGAACTTGATAAATTATCTGAAACTGATAGCCATTAATATAATAGCCAGTCTTTACATTTCTTATCAAAATAAGAAGTTTCAGAATTATAATCAGCAAGTATTTTCAGTTAAATTGAACATTAACTTTTTGATTGTCTGACTCTCAGTAAGGGGAACATTCTTTTAATTGTTCGACAAGGTCCCTCATAAATAATTGGAGTCCATGACATTATAATTACCGCAGTACTCAGCCTGTCCTCCCACCCCCAGTTTGGTTAGTAAACTCAATTAAGAAACGTACACTCAAGTTTATCCTCGGGTCTTCCTCTTTCAAGGAGCGACAGGTAGCAGACAATGTCCTTCAGGTGGATCACTTCAGGCGAACATGTGTTTGCTGGAGAGGAACGGGGAGGGGTGATTGCTCCCTTATTCATTCTCAGGCCTGGAAAATATATTTATATTTATGTATTTAAAATAAACACTTGGAACTCAAATATGAAATGACTAAATGAAATTATACCTAGACCACATCAAAACATATTTCTTCACCATAAAAATAATCAAATGCATAGAGCACGAGTCTAGAAGCTTCACACGTATCCTACAAATGCTGTAAAGAGGGTTTTCTGGGATGCAGGGACACAGAAGAGAGCTGTCTGTCATTGTGGACGCAACATCTCATTGCCCAGGGTGAACAGATTGAAGCAAAAATTTAATGCACAAGAACCCATTTTTAGCCCAGCCTTCTCTGGGTGAGGCGGTGACAGATATGAATTAACTTGAAAGATACCAAGAATTGCCTTTCCATAAAATACTGAAAAAGCAATCTGAGTCTGTCACAGCATGATTTATATACTGATAATAAGTAGTCATTCATAAAATAAATATTTATGTCAAATATTTACTAGCACCATAAGTAAGAGATCCTTCTGCATCAAGAGATTTATCCATGAGTAAGAACGAAAAGAAATTTGGATAAGTATTTAATGAGTAGGAAAAAGCATATAACTGTAGTTTGATTTCAATTTGATCCCCAATTGATGCATGTCATTTGAGGCCAGCCTGGTCTACATAGTAAATTATAAGCCAGCTAAGTTTACACAGTGAGACTTTTCTTAAAATAAAAATAAATACAAAAAAGCACAAAGAAATCTGTTTTTACTTTTTATTATATTTCTGTATTTAAGAGAGAGAGATTGTGAGGTTTGTGTGCGTGTGCGTGTGTGTGTGCGTGTGCGTGTGTGTGTGTGTGTGTGTGTGTGTGTGTGTGTGCGCACGCACGCATGCGTATAGATCAGAGCGCATGTAGAGATCAGAGGACAACCTTAATGAGTCGGTTCTCTCTCCACCATGTAGCTTCCCGGGAACAAACTCAGATCCTTAGGCTTGGTGGCAAGCACCTTTACCTGCTGTCATCTCACTAGCCTCTATTGTTAAGTCTTATGAACTCACCTGTCCTAAGACAACGACAGAGAAACTTGATTCCACTTCACAATGGCTGATGCTAATCTAACTGGAGCTCCTTCAAAATCTTTTTTTAATATCATCTTACAGAGAAGCCTCTGAAACCACATCATGAGCATCTGAGGAGGTCTGAGATAAACTCCACTTACAACCTGGGTACACTTGTCAAGAGATATTTGGCTGTCGTGACTGAAAAACTGAGATTTGTGGATTTCTAATCTACCAGGAGCTACTGAGAAATACTTGGATGAAATGAAGTTTCAGGACTGTCTTCCTTGGCACAGATCCACATGGTAGACCTGATGGCTGCTTTGATTCCTTCAGTATTCCCTGTCATCTCAACCAGCCATCTTGTACATCTCAAACATAATATTTGAGGCTTTATGAAAAGTCTTTAGTTTTGTCATTACTCATGTTGCCCCTAATAAGAGATCTCACAGAGATTCTGATATATATCAGGAACCACAGGCAGATACTTTAACGTCTCATCTCACTAATTCTCACGGTAACCCTGTGAAGTCCATTCTATCACCCTTATTTTACAGAGCTGAAACAGGATTCTGAATACTGACGTCTCAGAGATTCACTGCCAACCATACAAGTCCATCTTCTTTACTCAACCCTAGAAACCTCAGAATAATTTTCTTCAAGGATACTATTGAAAGTAAGAAGAATCTACACCTTAACACAGACACAGACACGAAATTCATGGCTTTCATAACACATAAACATTTTCCATGAAAGCTTATTATGATCTTATCTCACCCCATTAAATTGTTAAAATTAGACCAAAGAATCTACAAATTGAATTCACTACCCACATACGTGTCACAGCCCAGTCTGTGAAACAGCATTATTTCCTCCCTTTACACTTTACTTTTACTTACTCCAAATATAGGCCTTTATATCATCTTAATTCTACTCCTCTTTATTATAATCATCTGCAAGATATATGTTAGAAATGAATTTCCTTTATGACACAAGTATCACTATATATCCAATGCAAACCAATAGTTAATTTTTATAAGCAAAAGAAAGCAAAAAAAAAAAAAGAAGATAATACTGAGCTTTAAAAATAGTCCCAAATAATTGCAGTTGGCCAACTAAAGCTTAGCTAGCCACAGGAATAGGAGTGCTAATGTATAATAAAAGACGTTTTGGCACTGACCCTTGGCATGACCATAACTTGAGACTAGAAGACTTGACAAATATAGCAGCTGAATTACGGTTGGATAAACTATGTCCTGAGTCTACTGATGAGCTAATCCTCTTTCCCAAGCTCCCCTCCTGTGGACCTGAAATATTTTAGTCATCTCAATTTAACTCTTTAACACAATAACTTCCAATAAAACAAGGAAGAAAGGAATGAACACGTTGTTGCTTTATTTGAAAGAAAGATAAACCATGCATTTTCACTTTAGAACATAGAATGAAAATCTGTCAACACTCTTTAAGGGGTAAGGTTTCTGATTATATGCTTTCATAATACTGAATTAAGGATTACAGTGGAGAAAAATAAGGGCCATTTAGTTTTCTTTAAGTCTTTCCTATATAAGGTATATATTTAGGTATATATTGAGAAAGTCTATGAACATACACATTACAGTTAGCATCACTTTTTTTGGTAAATAAAAGCTTTTTAAAAAACATAAAATTTACATACCATGCAACCCACCTATTTAAAATGCACAACTCAGTGGTTTTTAGTATATTTACAGAGCTGGGTTACCATTGCCAAAATCAATATCAGATTTCTATCACTGTCAGAAGATCTGCATCAGTTTGCAGTTACTCCCCTTCGCCCACTTCCTTAGCCCCAGGCAACCATAGATGGGCTTTACATCTGTAGATTTTTAGCATCTTTTTAAAGGAAAATGTTACTGCTGTGTTTGTCTGAAAATGAGGAAACATTTCCCTGTTTGTGTTCATGTCATATTGTAAATAGAAGCTTCACTGTGCATTTGATTTTCACCATATTTGAAAAGTTTAAAGTATGCAAAACTATGGGCATCAATGCAATCTCTACATTGAAAACCTAAGAAATTCTTTCCAAAGACTATACCAAATTCGAGAGGTAAAGTATTTGCTCTGTAATGGTTTGTAGTGTATACCGAGTAAGGAATAAACTGTAAAGACATTTTTACATTTATTTTGCTACAAAAATTATCAAGCAAAAAATTATTATTAATATTTTTAAATGATGTTATAGTCTGCTTTTATTCACAACAAAATTTATAAAGAAATAGAGAGATCACTGTGCTGTTGAGTCTTACACATGGACACATTTCTCCACTGTGAACACCCAACACCTTCACCATATCTCACATTGTTCCACTAGGGTCCTATATAGACTCTCCACTATTACCAATTCCATAATCTATGATTACAAGAAATTTCACTACTCATGTTGAAACTTCTGTCTCAACAAATATTTTACTATTTTATTATCTTACAAAGCATTTTAAAAACCCTAAAAAAAAATCTATCCTACAGCTATTTATGCTTTACCTGCAATCTGTGGCAAAGCACATATGTTTATTATCTCCCCAGTTTTTCCTTTCCCAAAATATCATTTCACATGAATTATATGGTAGGAAGCCTTTCCAAATTAGCTTATCTCACTTAGCAACATGCAATTACATTTTCTCCACTTATTTGTATGGGTTGATCATTTCTTTTCATGATGAGTAACATTCCAGTTCCTAGTGTACCAAGTTTATTTATCCACTACAGAATTTGCTAAATTTTAAGTGATTGATAAAAAAGTCCATAGGTTTGTTTCTGTTCCTAGGACATCCATTTGAAAGTCTATTTTCCTTCATTTTAGTTTTTCCAAAAAATATGCAAAACTAGTATCGTGAGTTATGTTACTAATCTGTAAGGCAATTAAATACTAGCAATTTAGCTTTCCAGATTATTATATTGCTTCATACAAAGCAATTTACTGAAAAGGATGATCATATTTCCAATGTCCATACTAACAGTCAGCTGAGTAGCATGGATAAGCAAAAGTAAAAGCAGTTGAACTATACTGCTGTGTGTTCTATGCTTACTCTTCCAAGTATACTTGTCCTGGTATAATACTGCAAATATAATGGTTCTTTGTGCTGATATGGACTAGTAGCCAATGACACAAGTAAATTAAGTAATTAAAATAGTGATTTCTCACAACATAAAGACAGATGGGTAGATAGTCCCTGACAGTAGATTGGGACTAGATAAGTCCCTTTGAGGACAGATACTGTTTCCTTTGTGTAGATATAGGAAAACAATCCCACCTGCACAACCATAAGTAGCAGACATGGAGAAGTACAGGCATTGGTGGACATGGTTCTAGAAGCAGAGAGATTGCTGGGAAGGAGCACTAATAACAGACCACTGGCAATGTGTATAAGCACTTTTGCATTGTAGTTTCATTTGTGAGATGAGAAGGTAAATATTATGAGAGTAAAGTCAATTCTTAGACAGAAAGAAGTCAGGAAAATCAACTTTTGAAGACAGACCACCTACTTCTGGACTTTGGGTTCTCTTCTAAAATTGAGATACCTGTACATCCATGTTTGTTACTGCCTTTTTGACAAGGGCTAAGAAATGGAAGCAACCAAGCTGTTCCTCACTGATGTGTGGACAATGAAAATGTGGTACATTTACACAATGGAGTTCTACTCAGCAGTAAAGAAAAACAAAATCAAGAAATTTGCAGGTAAATGGATGGATCTAGAAAATGTTATACTAAGTGAAGTAATACAGACTAAAAAAAACAAATGACGTGTTTTTCCTCATTTGTGGATCCTAGCACCAAATCTTTATACATGAGTATATAACCTGACATAAGTGCAGAAGCCAGGAAGATGGTAAAGGGAAAGAGACAAGTGTTACTAAGGGGGAAATAGGTAAAATTGGCGTATTTAAATGGGATGAGGAGAGGAAAGGTTGTACAAGGAACTGCAGAGGTAAAGGGGAAGAAGAAGCTCCAGA